TAAGAGTATCTTGCTCTTTAAAGTTCCTGTTCCTTTAACAATCATGAAGTTGAAACAAAAAATATAAAAAACAATCAGTAATAAAATCAAAACTAAGTTTTGCATTATGGAGACTTGGTGAGATTTTCATTATTACTGTGCTTTAAATAATTTAAAGTTATTCCAAAGCAATCTATATTTCCCATTGACAATCTCATGTTAATTTAATAACCTGCATGGCTGTAATTTTCATTAATTGACTTACACTCTGACCACATCTTAATAGACTTGACAATTTTTTCTGCCATTAGACTCTCACAGACTATTATCAAGCAGGGATGCCAAGTTCACCCCTTCTGGTAATACCATGATTCTTAAGACAAAGCCCTCATCTTTGTCACATAGATGTCAACGTCTCTGTCCCCTCCACTCCTGCAGACAGACCAGCAGCTCTCATTTTCACTGCTTTGGAAGCACTTAGCCCCAAGCAGAGCAGAGTCCCCTAGGGGAAAGCTGGAGCTGGAAAGTGGTGATTGCACTTGGGAGAGGAAACATTTCTGCAACTTATTGCTGGTTGGAGCCTGAACCACCCCAGAAGGTCCCACTAGGGAACAGCCCAGGTGGATGGTGAGAGCAACAGGGGAGTTCAGACATTTAGCATGGATTAGTTCCATGAAGACAGCAGTCAGTCACAGATGTCAGTTTGGCAGGTCTGAACAATATGAAGTTCACAGGCAAGACTTTTCTGCCCTTGTAGCACTGTCTCATTGATTTGCAAAGTTAAACTGTGTCAGTTGCAGTGGAGACTTGGCTCTGCGCATAGTTAAAAAACGAATAATCAAAAAAAGCAGTGCAGAGGATTTAAAGCCAAGCTCTTCCCATGCAAGTGTTGACAAGCGCTTTGTGGAAATAGGCTATTTCAGCACAGTTCCTCTGCAAGCACTGAGCAGGGCTTGGATTATGCCAGCTAAATAACAGTGTAATACGATGTTTTCTTTTGAAGACACATGCTCCCAGCGTCAATAGCGTAGTCTGTTAGAGCAGCTGTATATCAGACCTGCTCCTCAGTGCCTCCTGACTGCATGTCCCCATACAGAACTAACGCATGGACAGAAGCAGTTGAAACGAACCTATTGTCTTCTTGGATCAATGGTGCTGTTTCCTGCAAAAGTGGTTTTTATTAACAGGTATATATTCTACTTCTCCTAGCAGTCACAGGACTACTAGAAAACACATGAATGTTTGGGACAAGCCACCTCTGCGGTATTGATTCTGCCAAGTGCGTTCCCCAGAGTATCGTCAACACCATGAAGTGTGGAGCCATTAAGGTGACTGGGCTGATGGAGTGTTTCTTCCCAAACCTCCCACAATCTGGGGGAGCTCTTTTGTCACATTTTCATTGCCCCAAAGGAGGTCCTGGTTTCATCTAGCACTCCTATACATTCAAGATTACACAGGAATATATTACTAATCTTATTAATTTCAGAGTCAGATCCTATCTTTACCATAAGTAATTGTTTATTTGTGGAATTACTCCTTAAAAAATACCTTTTGGATCTGAATTCCTCTTAACTTTGGGAATGTGCTGCATGAGGTCCATTTCTAACAATCACCATTACAGCTTCACGCAGAGTTCAATGCTACAGCAGATCCCAGGTTGATCGGGGCATATTCTGAGCCCCTTTGCAGTGGCTGCCTAGACCTTTGCTAATTTGCACTAAATCTTTCATTTCAGTTTCATGCTGTTATTCTGTTTGACTGTCATCAGACTTTGCAGGTGACTCCCTCCCTGAGGAAACTGTGATTTCTTTTGCTTTTAAATTTAAAATGTAACTACAGTGATTATTTCCTGCAATGGTGAGAATTTTTTCAGCCTTCCCACTCAGTATGTCTGTAGCTGGTGAGAAAACAAATTACCTGTATAAATATAAATGCTCGCATTTAATTGAAGCTTCCCATGCAAGCCACATTCTCATGATTGCTAGACTCTCTAAGCCTTTTCTAATGGGAGCATCTGTGATTTAGAGTGGAGCACTTCAAAGCATGAAGACAATAAGACCCATATTTGTGATTCTTTAGACATGACAACTTGCTTATCACCTCCCAAATAACAGTAAAAGTGATGTTTATTCTGCTTTCACCACTCTATTCATAAAGGCCTTGGAATTCTACATTACAAAGTATGCTAGCATTTTAAATCTGTACTGATACTTTATTATTTTCAGTTTTATTTCTACTTTAATTGGTGTATTTTTTTTTTTTTTAAATTTGATACCTCTGTTTTTCTCAAACTTTGTTTCCTTTCCCTGTACCTGTCCACTCCCTTACAACAGAACGGCTGTAGCCAGTCTGACAGCATTACTTCCCTTGCCCCCAAAACTGGGGGCTTATGATGCAAGGCAGCTTAGTGATGAATTGCAACATTAAGAACTTGAACTGAACAAAGCTAATGTTAGAACAAGCACATAACACCCCAGAAAAGTAAATAAACTTTGGGGTTTATTCACCCACCGATGAACAGGATGTTTACTCTGCACAGACATAGTGCCCCAGCATTTACAAATAAGTCACTAACCTATGCAAGAGAGAAAGAAGTCATGGCTGGTAAGTTTACACTGCGCTTTGAAAACTGTTGAAGAGTGGCAGAGGTCCAGATGAAGAGATCATACCACTGCAGGAATAAAAGTCGTAGGGCTCAGTTTGCTCTAAGCACGTAGAAGTAAAAAAGTTAGAACCTGGGCCAGAACCCGGGGCCGGACTTGCAGCTCTGCCTGCACAGTACCACCCTGCTTAGCCCGCCCCGCCCAAGGCAGGGACCACCCCGCAGGCAGGAGCGACCCGCCGCCACCCCTGTCGCCCTGTGGGTCGGTTGCCACCAGGGGTCAGCACCGGATCAAGGCCGGAGCCTCTCGGGTGCTGCGGGACCGAGCAGCAACGTGGCGGCAGAGCGGAGGGGGCTCAGCACGGCCAGGGTCCCTTTCGCCCTGGTCACAGGGGACACTGGAGGAGGAAGAGGCAGACGGTTATCTTACACACGCCGTGGCTCTGTCAGGTAGTTTCCAGCACAAACCAGTTTGCACAGCACCACTGATTTTTCCATGAAAGGGCACACAGAACTATACTTACAGTACAGAAGAAAATAAGCAGCTACTAGTTTGCTGGAAATGAAAAAAAAAAAATTAACGGTGGCAAAGGAGAAGAGTCTGTTGATTTAAAGCATTTCTGCATCTCATCCCTAAAGCCTCTGCTCTGCAATAGTACAGATATAAAGTTAACCAAGCAAGGCAGCAGGATAGGCAAAGCCTCTTTCTGAACAGTGCAAGTAAGATGCGACACTGTCAGTGGAACTGCTCAGACAAGGGATGCCACAAAGGGCCTGAGGATGTTCCATCCCTTTTGTCTTCTCAAAAAGTAAATATTTAGCAGCACACCTCATTTTATATTTGCTGAGCTCAACTTGGTGACAACATAGAAATCTGAAATGTGTTTTGGTGGTTGTTTTTGAATAACGTATTGTTTCAGCTCTAATCTGAGCTTTAATCCGTTTCAGTAACAGATTCAAGACTTGTTTCCAATGGAACAATGAGGCTTGTTTGGCATCCAGAAGACATGCTCATAACAGGACATTTGGATTCCTTGTGTAGCTGTTGACTTCATGGCCCCACTAACCTTGTCTTCACTGGAGATGTCTACTGATGCAATGACCTATATTTTGAAATATTTTTGGTATATCTGTAAGACAAAACAGAAGTGCTCAAAGCAGTGCACAGCCCTCTAAGAAGTGAACAGTCCAGATATGTTTCAGTAAGGCAAACAACTGTTATTACAGAGTAAATCCAAAACAGTTTAGGATTATTCCAGCCAAGAGACAAGCTGAAATAGATCAATGAATTGTCCCACAGCTGCTTACATCTTCCATATGTAAATGTATTCAATGTATCTATATGGTTCATCACTAATAAAAAAAGTTACAGGCATTCATTTGCAAGTGCTCACTAATATGAACATGCAAGATCCAGTGCCAAGTTCAATTCAGAGTTTTCTTTATTAAAATACCTTTTCACATTCCTTATACTAATGCATTTGTATGGACACTCACAGGATGCTAGAATGAACATTTGTCAACAGAAGAGTGTTGTGAAGTCAGTCATTTGAAAGGATTTTTATAAAAAAAAATTTGCATGGGGAACAATAAATTAGAGATATTAGCCACTAACTGGAGCTTGAAAATTTAAATGTTTGGAATGAGGATATAAAACTCTTGTATTTCTTGCTGGTTTTGTGCCTTTGATGCAATGCTTAAAGCAGTAACTATATATGTATATACAAATCCATGCCCTATCTTTCCTTATTTTCTAATTAAAATGAGAACCTTCTTACCTGTGGCCCAGATCTTGTAGTAATTTGATCTGCAGTAAGAAAAGGAGAGCAATTGCAGTGTCAAAGACCAGCTGGTTAAGGGGTTGAGGACAGTACTACTACTGTTTTGGTTTGTGTTCTTTTTTTAAACTAATGCGACTGACATAAACACGGGCTGCAAAATTTAGATCTAAGTCTGAACTGGATCCATGTTAGTGGTTTATCATACTATAGAGAAAAAGGATAGGTATGGAATTCCATAGTGGACAAACTGGTCACAAGTATGGCTTCATAACTCTCCTAAAGTCAAAGGAATAAGGATTATACATAACAGGATTTTCAGGTACAAACTCACCTGTGTGTAGTGTATCCACCCACTCAAGACCTACATTTTGCATCAACCAAAATAACTGTGATGGACAATCATTCATTGAAGAACCATCACACCAAACTAACCAACAAGCATCAGAACTTTTAAAGGGGAAAAGCAATTTAGCGAAGAATAAAGAATATTTGTGCCTCTACTGACAGAAGCACTTGATAAGTACTGAATCTGTGAACAGTTATTCAAGTTTTTAGAGAGCCCAGAGCTCGCTGTTCTGTTAGGCCCCCATTGCAGTGTAGCATCCAAGTGAGCTATAAATTAGCTGGCTCCAAGACTGGTAGCAGTCCAGCTGCTGCAGCACTGGGAGTTCAGCACAAGCTGCAAGATCATGTCAAAGTACATACACGGCTGGCCAAGCTGTGCTGAGCTCTGTTCTGCCACAGTAGAGTGTTACTGATAACCAAGTTAGCTAGTTTAAAGCAAGCTTAGATATTTCTACATCCTACTAGCATCACAGTAGTTACTGCACTGTAGAAATGTACTTCCTCAACTGTAGCTTCCCTTTTTATTTCCTCAGAGCATGATGAATTGGAGGCTAGAAAGGCAAAATTGTATTATCAGGAGAAATTAAAGTTGGGAACCTAGGTCAGTGGTTTCTAGAGCCACTTTCCTATGAGAATTTTTATTTGTAATTTTTTCCATTAAATGCTTTAGGAAGATCTCTAGTGTTTCCCCTGAGGAAATAAATTTTGAAAAGAAGAGCCTGACAAACTCATAAATAAGTGCTGCAGAGCTTTAGAAACATTTGCAACATCTTCCATCTTTGCTTGTTTTCTTCTCCCAGCTGATGTTTGAGACGACTGCTCTAAGTAGCATCAGGATGCCCTTGTATTCTCTGTTGGCAATAAAACAAAAGAAAGAAAGAAAAAAGTATAAGTATAAATGTTCTCCTGCCCTCTCTTGTCCTTTTTTGATCAATACAAAAACTTTAAATATAGCAATATATTCCTTAGAGCACTGTACAGTGAGCTAATAAATACTCATAGTTCCCTGGGGAGATATTAGTATTATCTTCATCAGATAAAAAAGGAAATAAGACAGTGGGAGATTTAGGTTAACAATTACAGGCTAGACTGCAATACTGTTAATCACCAACATCTGCAACTGGGCTCTTACTGATAAAAGTTGGATTCTTATGGGAACTGCTGGCACTCAACAAATCTGAAAGTCAGATCCTTTATTTACTAGCAGATGCCCAGTTGCCACAATTAGGCTCCCATCTTCAGTCCCACAAGAATGAAAACCTTTTCCTAAGAAGCACTTGAGTGTCCAACTTTTAGACACCAGGTTCCTACAAGAGTCTGCTCCTTTGAACAGGACTATTCAGTACACAGCAGGGACACAGAAACCTGGCACTGAGAACCACAAAAGGCAGTGTGCAGACAGAGGAATCCTCTACGCTAGCCAACGGGAAAGGGCAAAGAGAGATCCCAAACTTCATTGTCTTTACATTATATGACAGAAATAATTCTGTCTACTGAGGATTCTCAACTGTCAAGTCTTTCCTGACATCAGTTGCCAAAGCAAGTCTTCCTCCAACAAATATCTGCTCAGAGTACATGGTGGCCTCTAACCTAATAGTTTAGTCTGTCATCACCAAGGCGCCTAATTCCTTTTGTGGACTTGCCCCCAAAGGATTTGCCCCATGAGTCAGAGGCAGGAATTCCTGGTTTATAATTCAATGTTTATTTCAGAGTATCACCTTGGTTTTCATATCCTGACTGCCTGAAATCCCCCCCCAATTTTAAATGGACACATCCTTCATCTTCATTTCCTGTCTGAAACTATTGTGCCATGTTACTGTGCACAGTTAAACACATGCCAGGTCCCCCTTTGGAGCTGGCTATGTTGTGCTGGCAATGTAAAGCAATTCTTTTACCACTAAGAATTTACAAAATACTTTTGGGATCACTTGAGTAAGACGAGAAAGTAGCTGAGAAAAACCCCAGAAATTTCTCCGAATAGATTTAAATTGTACAGGTTTCTGTCTCAGAGGGTACATTCTGAGGTTGAACAAATAGGCAGCTAAAAGTACACTGTGTCCTGACTGAGGCTGCCAGTCCTCGTGTACCTCTAGCACAGAATCAAACAAACAAACAAACACACACATCTAAGAGGTAACAGGGGAGGAGGAGATATGAAGTCAGAATGTACCGCTGAGGTAAATTTGACACAATACCAATTAGTATTTGGCGAAGTGGCTATCTCATTGTTAAGATATTTCCTTCAATATGTTTTCAGAAACTGGGACCATTAAATAACTTAGAAAGATTGCCAGCTCTGATTTCAGGAAGGAAACCTCCTCCCAGTTCCTCTCTAAGTAATTCATTTCTTTTGCAAATACTTCCTATGGATGGCATTTAAGATACAAATTTCTGAAACAGAGGAGAAAGAGGGAAGCAACCCCCAACCCAAAACCTTGGCTTAATTTCTAAATGACCTAAAAGTCCAACACATTCAGGTTCAAGGTACTCTGGACTGCAAATCCATCAGAACCTGTACTGCAATTGGGCCTTTATACAATTCAAATAATTCAAACTTGAACTGATTGTTTTTCTAATGCACCACCTTTCTTGACATAATACACTTTCAATGCCTCTGTGTAACACAACACTTATTGTCAGTACACAGTGTTTACTAAAGCTGTGAGCTCAATTCTGTAATGGTCTCTCAGTGAAGATAAAGCAAAGTTCCTAAATTTCCATGCTTGATTATGTTTATTCTGACAGAAACTACATAGGGGCAAATGCGCAAGAGCAGGGCTAGCACTCATTAAAATTATTTGCTTCATCTTGCTTTTCCACAGTGCAGTACTCTGTTTTGCCTGTGACTTCTGGAAGATCAATGCAGAATGGAATACATTAACAGAGTTTATCTGAAGAGTGAAACCCATGTTGTTTGAATTTAGAGAGTGAAAAGGACAGCAGGATCTGATGTTGAGTCTCCAGCATCACTACTGAAACAAAAAGGTTGCGTGTCCTCCTGTCTCTGAAAAAATAGCTCTTAGCAAAACACTACTCTCTCTGCTGTGGTGCCCTTTGTCCCACACTTCTGGAGTACCTATTACTTCCTAAACAGAGTCAAATTCTACAAGGTTTTTGACAGGTCACTATACCTAAGTAATCCATCTGGCATTTCATGTGATTAAGATGCCAGCTGACCAGCTAGCTCCTGAAGGCCTCCTTCACTCACAAATTAAGGGAGCAGCAGATCGAAAGCAACTTCACCTCTGAGCCAAATACTACAATATTTGGCTATAAAGAAGCAGAACAGCTGGGAAGGAAGTTTAAGCCACTTGATCACTTTATAAGGAGCATTTTCCTTTTCATGAGTAGGATCAACAACTCATTTGGACCAAACCTTTGAGGTACATCACAGTTAAGCATTGCATGAAAATAAGCTACAGAAAAAAAAAAAAAAAAGTTGCAAGAAACTGATGATAGAAAGCACCTTAGTAGCTCCCTGTCTCTTCTGTACTCATCTATGTTGCCTGAAAAGTGCTCAGAGGCAAATAGGGGGGATGGAAAATCTATAAAGAAATTTATCCGTCCAGTTCAACTTTAGGTCACTTATCTGGAGAGTTTAAAAGAGGGATGGTGCTGCTTTCAGTCACAGGCTTTATTGGGAACAGAAGTGGGAATTTAAGAAGCAGAATGTAGGGATCTGGGGTTTTTTGCTGTGTCCTTTAAAGCATTAATAATTCAAAAAAGGTATAGTTACTATGTTAATTACATGAACAGTATCTTAGGAGGAGATAACGTCACAGATGTGAACTGAGTAAGGCTATTTCTAGGAAAACTCAAGTAAGTTGTGCAAGTGTTACAAAGCTGACTTTTTTTGGGGGTGTTTCTGAAAATGGATTAGTTTTAGAGTAACTAGTTTTGTTACTCTCCTAGTATTAACAGGAGTTTGTACAGGCAACACAAAAAACCCACTGCCCTCAGCTGACACTTTTCTGTCTTGAATCTAACATTACTTCATAGATTGTCTGGTTTAGCAAGCTTTAATAGCCCAACTAATTATGATGAAAGTGATTCACATGGTGTAGTCAGTGTATTTTCACTGAACTAGCCTCATTATATTTCCATGGAGATTTTTTTTTACTCAATTTTGGTGACAGTAAAAGAAAACAAAAAAATGTTCATAAAACTTTAGTCTTTCATCCAATGTCCATTACAAATTATGTAGGGTGTGGGGAAAAAAGGACAAAAACTCCTCCCTGAACCTACAGCATATGTCTATCACAGCCACTCTTGACCATTTTTCCTTTTGTGTCGGACAGGGACAAACTTTCTTCTGCATGACTCTCCAAGGAAGCCCTGGTGTAACCCAGAGGAGGGTTCAGCTCAATTTATTTTTAGAAAATTGAGAGCAAAGAATAAAAATGAACCTTTAAACTAAGAGAGACAATGATACTATAAACCCTGCTGGCCTGTTAATATATGTCTGTTTATTGTAACACAATCTGTGACCTTCAGAGCACTGCCAGTGTCTGTAAATAATACAATGGGCTACTTTTTTATCCTGTAGGGATGTGAGTGCTGATGGAGCCTTTCAAAACTCAAATGGATGCCATAAGCTGACGTGGACTGTGCTATTGTGATTCTTATTTATGAGTCTCTCTCTCTTTTTTCAAGTACAGTTCCAAAGTCACAAAGTGGATGGCAGAAAGAACACCCTGTCTGCCTGGTCTGAGGTTGGATTAGTTAGCTTATCTAACATTCATAAAAGTACTCATGAAATGTATGTTCCCTGCCTCTTAGATCTCGAGAGCAGAGTAACAGCTCATTCAAGACATTTATTCTTTAAAAAAAAAAAAAAAAAAATCAAATCCTTATTTTTTCACTGGCTTCCCAGCCATTTAAAACTCTTCACCACCTACAGAACCTTCACAAAACTCATAATTGTTTGGCTGAGATCCTCCATATATGGATGGTACTATTCTCACCTCTTGGTTAGAGCAGCATAACTGCAACATAGCTATGTACTCTGAGGTAAAAAAAATTGCTTGCCTTTAAAATTTCTTACAAGGTCTTGGTTTTCACCACCAGCCCTTAGAGTCATCCCGCTTGCTACACCAGTAGATGCAACTGAACCCAGAAGGAAACAGTCACAGACAGTGAATAGAAGTGACTTTTGCCCATGTTCAGGTGATCTGCCATTCCTTCTTAGTTTAACTCTTCATTTGACATCTGAGGAAGGACCTCGCTTCTCTGGATATTCCAATCATAGAATGTACGTGTGTGCATGTGAGCAGGCACACCCCAAGGAGATTCACTGGCACTAAACACTCTATAGATTTTACAGATGGAACTCGAACAACATCTCTGTCCCCAGCAATATATTATCAGCTTAGCAGGTTTACATATGCAAATCTTGAGTCCCTCAGGTCCATCAGGAATCTGAAGCAAGCAGCAACCATCCCCAACCTTGTGCCATTCTGTTAGCATGAATATGTGTGGCACATATACCAAACTGTGCAGATATTCAACACAAATTCTTGGAAATTCAATATTTGTCATCTACCTCCTGTACCAGCACTACTAAATACCAGTCAGTTCCATGGACTTCTAAAGCTGACCATTCTACAAATGTCATACTGAAAGCCTGACTAGTAAGAATATATATGAAAGGATTGCCCAGTAGCTATCCAGTAAAGGTTCTGAACAACAAATAAGCAATTAAAAAGTTACAACACTTGAACACTATCTCACTAGATACACAATAACTTCAATCCAATTTCCCTATATTTAACTGCTTACGTAAAATGTATACTTACAGAATGCCTGTTTTCCACAGAATCTGCAAAATAAAATACAATGTATAAATTATGAAATGGCACATCGCAACATAGTAAGTTCTATGTTCCAGAAAAATAGACTTCTATGTTTAATCTAACTTTTGTTCACCATGCAATGATGTAAAATTGCTACCTACAATGAAGGTTCAAGCTCTGGTCCTAAGAAGTATCCAAGTGCTAGCCTAATTTAAGTACATGGGTAGGACCAGACATTTCAAAGACCATGTTGAACAGTACATGTTTGACAGCTTCCCTGATTATGGTTGAGAGCAGAAGTCTCTACTGAGAGCACAAGCTGTTACTGGACAAAAAAGAGTCTTCCTTTCAGAGGCAAGTTCTCATGAACATTATACTTCCTCTTCCAATTCCTTGCCAGGAAAGTAACGTACTGCAGAAATCCGGTATAGGATACAATTTTCAGAGCCAAATAGGATCCTGCAAAGACACCTGAAATTTTTATTAATAAAAAGTTGCTTGTTCCCAATGAAAGCCTGGAAGCCAGCAGGCTCTTTCCATTTAGGATTAGTGAACTTTAAGATTAGGTCTTAGTTTTGGTGGGGTTTTTTTAAAGTGGATTCAGCTATTCAGAAGTTTCACAGAATACCTTCAAATACTAAAGCATAAACATTTCTTTGCGCTCTGAAAGTAAGACAATTTAGAGACATTAGGAAATTAACTCCTCTTTTAGAAGAGGACTAAGTCTTGTTAAAAGTGCTCTTTTGTGTGGTCTGTTAAGACATTTCACACATGACAAAACTGAGTGCTGAATCTCAAAGGGGATTTTCTTGGAAAGTATATCAAATTCAGTGGACAGTGGTTGTGTCAAGGAAATTCATCTAATGCTCAAAGCAGAGGGTTTGGACTAGGGCTCTGGATTAATCTTACCAGTATTTTTTCTATAAACATGGGATAGTCTCTGAATCTATGTTTTTTCTAAGTATGTATTTTTTAAATAGCAAATAACAACATCAGTCCTCCCATAGGCAGAACACTTATGTAAATTTTGAAAAGTTCTCTGAAATCATTAAATGAAGGATATTATGAAGAGTATTACTACCATAAATAGACCTTAATAAAGATCTTTTAGAAACTCCCTTGCCAGCCAGCAGAAGTAATGAGGAAACTGGACACAGGTGAACCTAACTTTGCAGATAACAGTGCTGCAATTTCTGAAAGACAGAGAGACTACATGACTATCACTGGCACTGTACATTATGAGTTTTCTCCAAGACAATTCTACCCAGAACTTTTAGCCTAAGAAAGGATTACAAACTGAGGTGACTACAGCACCTTATACCAATGCATAAAATTGATCTCAGTGTTTGGCAAGATCGGTCCCTATATGTTTAGCCAGTTTGAGAAGAAACAAAATAAAAAGTTACATGGGAAACACGTAAAAGCTTTTTGTGTCCTGAGAGCTGACAGAAGTGAACAAAACCACTGCTGACCCAGTGCTACATCAAAGCTTGACTTTAAGCGAACAAAACTATATGGAAGGTTTATGACGTGAGGTATTAACAAGCAGTAGTTTAGTCCTCTGTCACAATGTATTGTACTTACAGGAAGGAGGAAATGAGAAATTTTGTATAAATTCCAAACTTCAAACAACGGGATGTTTGCTACCCCAAAGCTACTAGGTCACAATAACAGATATCCCGTCTCCTTGTTATCTGTCACCCAGACTCAAAACAGCGTGGCTTTCTAGCCACACTCAGCAGTGCTTGGTTAACAGTTGGACTTGATGATCTTAAAGGTCTTTTCCAACCAAAACAAATCCATGATTCTTAGTATCATATCTCTGATATCTATAAAGTAGAATTTTCTACTTTACAGGGATAGAAATGTGTTTGGGTTAGTGGTTAGACACTGTTTAATTTAGGGTTAAATACACTACCTTGCTTTGCTAACAACTATACCTTTGAAGAAGAGCCAAAGGACAATAAAAAGCATGCTTTGCTAAAAAGTATCCTTGAAGAAGAGCTGAAAAACTGATAAAAAAGAAACATCCTGCCCCAGAAGGCAGAGAGAGCTGAGTGATTGCCAGAGAGGCATGAAGCCAACAAAAATCGACAGTAACTAGGGGAAAGGTAAAGGTGGCTGGGGGAGTTCGCAACCACCCACCCAATTAAAGGACAATGCAAATTACCCCCACACGCTCAAGAAGCATGGTGCTAATTTAAATATGCTTGATCGATAGTAGATGATGTGGTAATTACTAATCAATTAGTGTAAATTTAGGCAGGTTTTTCTAATCCAGTAACAACATAAATACATTGTAGATTCTCTGTGTAGTGTGCTATCTTTGTGGAATTACCATCTAGCACCCATCTCTGTGTAGACATGAAATAAATAAAATACCTCTGCTCTGGGCTGTATATTGGTGCACTGCACACTGGGTAAATGATCTCATTTTTCGGACAATATCTCTACCAGGAGAATGTTGTAATCCGTGCCCTTTGAAAGTGCTCCTGGAAGGCTACATGATTTCTAAAAGGTACTAATCGGGTAAGCCAGCGTGTAGCTTCTAATGAAAGCACAAAGATATGGTGCTTTTGCTGATTCTTTGCTACGTCAATCTTTTCACAACCTTTTTATTTCATTCCTGTTAAAAATATGAACTGGTTTTTTACTTGAAACACTGATTTTACTGTGATGAGAGAGAACAGAGAGATTTTCAAATGACACCTGGCCTTCCCTTACTAACAAAACCAGGGAAATGAGATATACGGGATTCTAGTCATATAAAGAAAAATTGGTCAAGCTTCCATGGCAGGGCAAACAAGAAGATGCATATTTCATGAAAGGAATCAGAGCTGAAGGTCTGGTGCTAGTGATTTCTAAAAGATTCCCAAGTGTAATAAAGGTAGGTGTTCTTACAGATTTCTGATAGATTTAAACTCTTGCTATTGCTTTTAGTTGATGGGGGTTTAAATTCAAAGAACACATTTTTACAAAGGAATACATTAATGGCAGGAATTTAAGACACTGTCATCCCCACCTACTCTGCCCTGTCTCATTGCTAGAGGTTATGGAGAGGCAAATATATGCCTAAACAGTTGCAATTCACAATCCATCTCAAACCCATCTCCACCACTGATGAAAGCTGAGATGCTAGATTATCAGCTGAAGATGCTGATCTGCAGACACACACTACATTCTGGCACGCCTTTTATTGGAGCAGTAACTTCTAAAAGAATCTTGGCAGGCAGTTTGGGAACAGATCTTACAGAGAGGCATGCACGCAATTCAGCTTTGCATTTTAGGTTCAAGCAAGGTCAGAAGCTCCCTGCATATTTGTGTCTTACTGAAGCCATCTGGCTTTGCCTAATTTTTGGCTGAAGCTATTTTAAGCATTTGGCTCTGGAATCAATGTCTCTCAGATCCAGGCTTTGGTCTAGAATATGTCTGGAAACCTAAGGATCCAAAGAGTCTTGATTTTGGAAAACAGAATGGTTATTTGCATGATTTTGGACTGCATGCAACTAGCATATGCTCATAAGGCCTGAGTTTTGAATAACATAACGAATCCCCAGACCCTGTGAGTTTTCTCCATGCTGGAAAAGGCGTTCAGTGGGAAACTCTGGCTAAGTACAGAGGTGTTAAGCCTGAAGCTCAGTAGCAGGAAAGTATTTGAGCAGATTTCCTGATTGCTAGAACTGATTTCTAATAGTTTGTTCCAAACCACTGAATGCAATGGGGATTTCTCATGACTATTTCCACTGGGATATATTTATTTTTCCACAGTGCATTGTTGGTTGCAATAGGATTCTTAGAATTTCCTGTCTCGCCACTGCAGTTGCTTCCAAGTGACCAATTCATTTTTCCAGACTTAGCAGCATAAAGGCTGGCTCTGCATTTTGTTCACTAGTTTTCCATTTTCCTGATAAGAAATTAAGAATAGTTATCTTGCAATAAGCCACTATGAGTTCGATTCAGTGCACATCAAGATCAGTGCAAAGCCTATCACAGGCTACTGTGAGCTTTGGATCCGATACAGAGCAAAGGCAGAGTTCACTGAAGGAGCAAGAATGTACTAAAACATTGTCTTCCACAAGAAATGCCCTGAAAAAATGTAAGGAAATCTGTGACCTGGAGTTGGCTCTAGTCTTCTTAGGAATATGAACAGAACTGTGCTACCCCAAGAACTGGAACCAATGTTGAGAGAAGGGGTGGAGCTGAGATAAAGAACTAGTATGGAGATGCTTGAACTTCCTGCCCCTACTGCCTCTTGGGAAGATGAAAGGTGTGATGGAAGTAAATCATGCATCTAAAAGAGCCTCCACCCACCCAGCTGAATTCACTGTCTGACACATCCTGATGCCTCCCTCAGGAAGAGCATCAGCTGGCAGCCTAGCCTGTTGGGACTCCTGCACCCGCAAAGTGGGCAGGAGGGCCACAGTCATTTCATCACTCTTGGCAGTCTGTTGATCTAGACAATTGTCTGTTTTGCTTAAGTCTCAGAGTGTCTCAGTTCTTTCTGAAGAACAAGCAACAGCTCTGGAACTGGGCTGGGTATTCCTGACTCCCAATAAATATACTTTGACCTTTTCATAGAGCAACTAAAGAAAGCAGTATTTTAAGGAAATTAGTTCATCCTAATAGGTGTGAAGGACTTCAACAAAGGTCTTATTGACCTGACTGGTACTAACTGTGACCATTCCCCAAACTGCCATTTGGATGTAAGGTTTGATTTAAACCTGAGGCTTGAAGCTTAAGGTATTTTCTGTAAGATAATAAAGCAACAGCCCCATTGCTCTAGAAAATGTTTTACACCAATACCTGGGTGAACTTCCTGAACATCAAATCTTTTTTCTCTGAATTAAACTAACCTTTCGATAACAATGCAAGGACAGCTTCATCTCTTTGAGTTGCTTCCACAGACAATGCTAGCATCCTCCTTAAACTTCTCATTATGTCACAGGAAATCTAGCATCCAACTAAAGAGACTGACATTCTCTATCTACAGTACTATTATTTGAGTTTCAATCAAAATACACCTGACTAGACTTGAATTTTGCAAATGACCTGCTTTTCCTACTGTTAACAGACTAACTGTAGTTAATCACACGCAGGTCTTTTGCAACTGAAAAGTGCATTTGACAGTTTGTTTCTCAGACTCCTGTCTAACATAATGCCTCTTTAGGCCTGGTACTCAGAATAAGGAAAGCAGCACAGCAGATAGGATGGGAAGTCTTACCACAGTCTGATGCAGACAGTGAAATGATAGTAACAGGAGGCAACATAGCCAATACCAGGAAAATAAAAATAAAGAGAATAATGGCAGATGTTCAGCATACTGCCAAAGGGCTGGGGCTTGGGAAAGGTCAGAGCACTACCTGCACTATGGATTCATGATTTGGGATAAGGACAAGCAATAGCTGTAGAACTCAAAATACAAGAGAAGTTGGTTAGTGACATGGCATCTGCCTTAATGGGGACAGCAGTGAAAGCCATCAGAAAAATGAGGAAAAATATTGTAGCTCAGTCACAAAGAACTGCATCAGACATAACTACTGACAGCTCTTCAGCTTCCTCTTTAGTGGACACAATTTGTGAAATGCACAGACAACTCCTTGAATGACAAAATTGCTCATGAAGCACTCAATTCTAATTAAATAAACCCCAACCACAATAGTTACCACCAAACAATAATAAAATGTTACATAGGTCTTAGGTGTTAAATCTGTCAAATTGGGTAGCTGACACCAATTCCCAAAATAACATCATTTCCTCAGAGGACACATTTGTCTGAACCATTAGCTTCCTGAAGGAGATTGTGCTCTTGGGCATTTGCTCAAAAATCTCAAAGAATATTCAAACATAGTGAAGATCATAATGGTAAACCAACTTCTGCATCCACTAGTAATGCTCAGCATCTTTCACAATTGGCCTTTAACATACTTATATTAATATATATTAAAGTACTGAAGAAGATAGATCTATTTCCTCGGAATCCTCCACTGCATTTATACTTTGCCACCTTGCAATCACACAGCCTATCAAAAATCAAAGTAACTGTCACATTTAAATGGACTGTAACTTAGCTATCCAAAGCAACTGCATAGCTATGTGATGCACTGCTTATCTATTTGAAACACTTTTCCTGTGTATCAGTCAGGAAAAACAGACGTGATTAAAACAATAAACTGTTACTACGTTTCCAAGAATAACTGAAACTGTAGAATGTTATGCATAAGAGAGCAGGTGGACTGCAAGATTATGGGCAGTTTGCATATCATCTGGCTAATACAGCTCAGTCTTTCAATCATATCTCATTTTATTGCAGTTCCCAGCTTTATGGCAAGTACAGTCTTATAAGTGCTTTGAATTATTGCACCAACCTTGAGTTTATGCTACAACTCAGAAAATATCCTTCTAGTATATAGCACTTTCTGTTATGTCAAAAATAGGAATGGTGAAAGGTGTAGTAAAGAAAGCAAGCAAGGGGTTACACAATCAGCTTCTGCAGCTTGTTACGGGTCCAATTCACACGCACTGGAAAATGTTTCAGAATGTGAGTGGCCTTTGGATTCAGCCCCAAAACGAGCTGCTTTTTTTCTCATGATGCTGCCAGGCAATCCTACATGAAGTGCCTAGCCCTGTTCTTTAGTGTAAAGGATATTCTGCTTTTCACTGCAAGGCTGTGAAAAATGAGTACAACATATAGGCTCAGCACCAAGCCCAGAGTCAGGATTCTGAAATTCTGTTCCTAGTGTTGTCACTCTCTAAACACATTGTCTTAAACAAATGACCTAATCTCTCTGTTTATTCAGCTGTAAAATGGAGATAAAAATTGCCTTAAGTCCTCACAAGGGAAAATTAAGTAATATTTTCTAAAGTACTTGGAGACCCTCACATGAAAGATTCCCTATAAACATAACACTGTGTCAGAGCAGGCAGGGAAATCCCTTACAAAATACAAAAAAAAAGCAAATTAAAACACAACAATCAAGAATTACAAATGGCACACTACAAACCCAGTTAGTAACGTGGTTGGGGACAAAACCCGAACAGTTTACAGCCCTAATATTTACAAATCTAGACTTCCTAACACAAAGAGAGGAAAGGACATCCTTTCTGATGTAGTCTTTGACAAATTATGAAGCAATGCTTTTAACCTACCGTCTCTGAAGTTATTACTGCTAGAACATTTATAGACAGTAATTGCCCATAAGCTGCTAAAGCCCACAGACAAAAGTCTGTGTTACAGGAGGTGGAAGGGTAGAGTGGCTGGCACACACAGTCCAAGACAATTTTTGATGGTGCTTTAAACAAACAACCCACCCTACTGAAATGATCATACTGCTTTAAAGGTTTTGAGAGTTTGTTGTTGGAGGCTTTATCAATATTTGCTGAGGTTATATCCAAAACCAGCGTAATACTTTATAACGCATGGCAAACGTGCTCAACTAAGAGGAAAAGTGTTGTTCATGAGCAGTTTGACATAACACAATATATCATCCTAATCCCTAACAGGGCATGTTCAGCTCCAGATTCACATCCAGATGTATGGCCAATCTACTTAGCAGATACAGTGCAAATGGGCTGATGAAGTAGATGTTACAAATATTAATCTCACTGCATTAAATACCAATGGTTTATGAGAAACCATGAAGGTGTTATATAATCTGTCAACACCTGTGGTTTCATAGCTGCCCTTTGGTATGTTCCTATGTGACTTAGATGTGTTTTTATGGCATTTATCTCCTAAACTATTCAGTCACAAATTTATCCCTAATATCTACACAAATGCTTCCTTTATGTATTTAATTTTTTTCACTAGCTTACTTACCATTATTAGCTTTTCTGATTTCACTATAAACTGTTTCAGTCCCCTTCTGTACAGGAGCTGGAAAATGTATTGGCACAGAATCAATTTCTTTTCTTTTTTTTGTTTTGTTTGCCGTATGAAAAGCTCCTTAAACAAACAGAACACACTGTTTTACTTTCAGAGGAAGTAGTTACACAAGCAGCAATGATCCTGTGGAGTCTATACGAAAAAGCAACTACACCCCCTCCCGCAAACCCAGACTGTAAGGTTCTAAGAGAGATGTCTCTCCCTCTATATAAAAATGATGATAAAATAGGCTTCCCTTTCTAAATTTGACTTTAACATTCTATTAATCTTCTCAAGTTAAATTGATGCTGGTTTATTTTTACAGAGACATCTACCACTAGAGAAGAGTTTCTCTGAATCACTTTGAAGAGCTTCTTCGATTTGTTCTAAGGATTTAGGGATCCTAGACCTGAGGAGATCTATCATTTGGAAGACTAACTACACCCCCTTTTGGCAACTAGCCTGATTAAATCTTACGGTCACAAAAATAATCTAATTTGCTGTTCTTTGTGAGATGTCTCAGAAGAGTATTTGCAGATTTCACACTGCACAGCTTCTACTCAGGTGCTATCTGGGAAAGGTCTCTTCTCAATTCCTCAGCATGGCAGACTCTTCCATTAGTGCACTGAGATCAGGTGGACACAGCAGGAGTGAAAGCTAAGAAGACTTGTGGAAAGATAGAAAGTAAGGAGAAAAAGCAGAGAAGATTTGCGCCTCCAAGGACACAGCTGGGATACAAATGCAATGTTAGTCTCAGACACATACATTTCAGACCCTTAGGTTTACAAATAAGCCCCTGTAAACCTCTGCTCTTGTATGAGATGGAAAGCAAAAAGCTCTTCCTTTTTTGCTATCTGACATCTGGGAAAGAAAACCTGTCCTCAGAGTTTTGATATCAAACTACAGGTGCTTACCCCAGTAGGGAAGGGGCAGAGCCTTGTCTAAAGGCCTCAAAATAGCAAGAACTCAGTTCCTCTATGATCAGTGTAAACACAGCTCTGGGTAGTAGTAGATTAGAACAATTTCCTTGGTTTCTTGCATGGTTGTAGATTAAGAATCCCTGGGTAACCATAGTAAAGTAAAATGTTCCAGAACTCTGTGCATTAAAACCACTCTCTTAATTTAGTATAAAAGCCTATGCAGGCAGGGTCTAGGAACTTGCTGTTCAAGGATCTCAAAGCATTTTAGAAACATTTGTTCACTTCAGTGAAACTGAGTCTCTTAGAAAACCTCAGAAATCTATCACTATCACCTTCAATTTCTATGGACCTTCAATAAACCAAAAAGTTAGATTTTTCTAGTTAAAGTTAAAAAAATAAAAAAATAATACAGCTGTTCTCTCTCTGCAAGAAAATGTAAAAAAAAAAAATCACATTTCTGGATGCAGAGTCCTGTATTTTAGCTATAAAAAACATTTAAAGAACTCAGACACATTGATGTGCAGCTAGACTCAGAATCAGGACTGTTGCTGTTCTGCATTTCTCTGAAGCACCTAAGTGTCTCTGGCACCACATTCTAATTTCCCAAAGCTAATTTCATTGTTTTTAATTCTATTAAGCATCCTCTAAATGTTGGGAGCTACCACATCAGAATTGAGTTGCAAAACTGCTATTAATTTCAATGACAGTAGGAGTTTCACTTCACCGAGTGCCTAATCACAGCTTTCAAACTTGCAGTTTTGGCATGAACTTTCTTTGCAAAATAGTCTGAAGATCTTGAAGTGCATTTTGTATGTTTATGGACTATTGCTTAAAGGATCAATTCAATTTCTAGTGAAGTAAGAATTTTAATAAGAGGTAGCTCATTTTTTTAATTTTTTTATTTTTTTAGCAGATTACAGTCCTAAGTCTAATCCTGTTGATTCTGTGGAAAGACTTGGTGGGAGGCATTTCCTTAGCTTGCTTTTTTTTTTTTTCTTTTCAGACCCATTTCATTAAATTGTGATATAGTGCCACTGCCCATGTTGTTTTCTTTGTTAATCTTCCAAAAGTCATCTCAACACTGAAAACATGTGCTAGGAAAAATTACTTGGATGATTTGACATTTTGTTCCTACTAACTTTATAATGGTGCCACCCTGCAGATAACTAACCAGCTATAAAAGTAACAGAAGGAGCATGTTCTTACTGAGCCATGATTAGCAGTTTCTCCATTCCCACTTTAAGGATATTTCCTGATAATACTTTAGCACTGGCCTTTGTTTTTGCCCAGATTAACAATAAAGGATCTAAATCACTTTGCCATCTTTTTGCACAACTAAGCTTTAGAAAAGAGAAGCACTATATTTTTGTCAAGCATATAACCTCCGTAAGCAATTTAATCATTCTCTAGAATTACCACCTCTTTAAATACCAAATTAACATTCTGCTATGACTACCCCAAGTAAGAGCTGGATTATGTAGCCCCAGCTCTACCTCATATTTGTCTAGCCTCTTCACCCCTACTTCAAAAAGTAGGTATCAAGTTATTCCCATGTGGAAGTTTTAAAATAAAGCAGTGAAACTTTGCTTCTAGCAAGCTTACCACTATCAGTAACACTGTAACGAACCCTGGTTTTTGGTCCTTACGCAGAAGGATAGTACATATAAAATTCTTGATGCACTAGTCTATCTGCCATTATACTGTGTTAAGAATTATTTCCGAAACAACCAGCTAGTGCTGGAAAAACAGGGTGAAACAACTGTTTTCAAATGCAAGTAGTTCTTCACTGTCAAATACAAGATGTACATCCTTCTACAATTATCTACGGTTATATAAACTTGTTTTGAGGTGGCATTCAATTATTCCTGATTGCCAAAACTGACACAAAGGCTACTGTTACAGCTGAGATACTGCAGTGTTTATTGCAGTAGTCTTTCACAATACACAAAATATGATCCTCCTGCTCCTAAGATGAACATTAGTTTTGACATTGACAACAGTGGCAGGAGAGACAAATGATAAGGAAGATAAATTAATTTGAATTTAGTCCTGAGAGATCAAAGAAATCTGGAGTTCCTCAAAAGGCAGGAGGAACTAGACTGTATGTGCAGCCTGCTGAATGAGTTATGCATGCCCAGAGAGAAGGTAAGCGTGATATTCTTTGTCTTCATTCAGAAAATAGGTGGAATCAAAAGAGGTGCAATAGGGATTTGGAGTTAGGTGATAATCTGAAAGGTCTGCTCCTAACAAGGGCTGGTCATAACCCACAGACAGACATGAAACAATATTGTGATTTGAAACAAAACTTGTACAATAACATCAATGTGGCAGAAGTATCAGTGGCAGTTCTATGGCTGAATTATTTCTGTGGGTGTACATGATTATTACAAGGGTATATAAAGAAACTTGGCTTTGCTTCTCTTTTCCCAAGAATAAATCTAATCCTGTTCTCATTGTGATAGGCAGTCCAGAGCTGAAAGAATTAATCTTGCAACTTGGTTTCAGACAACTCCTTCTATTTAAGCAGCATCCTCAAGATGCTCTGAAAGATTAACACATTAAATACTTGCAGTGCAGTTGCCATTTACATAACCAAAGCATGCATTTGCTAAGCATTCACTTGTGTTGTAGGCGCAAAAAAAGAAATAGATTAGGGAGCTATCATATCTCAATACACTTGAAGCACAGTCCAGTCGTATAGAATCAATTAACTTTCTGTGTGTCATATGTAGGTCTGTCACATGAGACAGCATTCAGTTAAAATAATCTGATCTCATGTACACACTATCTTTTAAATATTATTTTGCAGTTTGCAGTTTAATGGGGTTCAGTCTACATAGCATGGATACTATCTTATTACTCAGTGTGGTATACTGGAATAGTGTTATATATCAGGAATGGGATGAAAAGGCTATTTTTAGAGATGCTGATCTTGCATTTAATAGGGCTTTTAATTTAAATAACCAGACACTAACATATCTTTACCATTCTACACCATTGTATCATGTAGTGCATGCTCAGAAACAGTTGGAACAATTAAGTATCAGCCCTGTTCTGAAAAAGAATACAACAACTATGATATCTCAGTGCAGAATTTAGCAGACATGGATAAATAGTGTGCTTAGAACACAGGGAAAACTCTATGATGAATGATACCAGCAAGTGAAAACCGAGAAAGAATGGGATGCTTGGCTGTTCCAGGAGGGCTTTGCAGCCAAGCTTGAAGAGTGAGCACTTTGGACCAAACATCTGTATTACTAACTAAACAATTGTGTCTTTGGTCTCTGAAGTGAGTAGTCCTTCCTACCAGGAAAAAGGAAATTTGTCCATTTCTTCCTCAGTTTGCTTCTCATTCAGCTAAAGCAAAGAAGCTAGAGCATAGCATAATTGTCTTTCATGGTTTTTATTCACTCTCAGCTACTTGAAACTTTTTGTAAATTTCTGAAAGATTTAACAGCTTTCAACACAAGGGCATAATGATATCACAGTTCTCAGAAGACACAGCATGACTGAAGTGTGCATGTGGGTGTCAAGAATAAATTTCAGTGGATATTTCTCCTTCAAGTTGCACAGACCTTAGCCTCATGCTATGAGGTCTGTCTACTGTTACCATAGAACTAATGGTAGGAGGCCAAAGTTACCTGGGCATCAATTTCTCATTTCTCTGTTTAATGTGCCACAAAATCCAGGATGGTCTCCAGGCCACTCCAGACAGAGACTAAATCTATGCTGGTCTCTCTTCTCTATCACAAGGGAATTACAGCTTTGACCCTTCAACTAGTTCCTTTATGAAGGAGGAAATTCCACTGCTTTCTGTTCTATTGCTCTACCCTGTGGCTAACCTCAAATGGCTCTCAGTGAATTTGGACTCTATAACACGAAGATTCACAGCAGGTTGCCTTCTGCTCAGAGCCTCAGCTCCAGCTGGGAGCCCTGCTCTGCACAGACCTCAAGTGGATGGGAAGGGCAAGTGCCTAAGTGGATCTCAGGGGAAGAAGGGGTACAATGAACAACAGTATGGTTGCTGCAGCATCATCTAGATTAAGGAGCACTACTGTCACAAAATGCACACAAAACACAACCTGCTTTTACATTCACAGGTGCCAATATCAGCCCAGCGTCAGGGACTACCAACATGCCCAGAGTTGCTCCCAAAACATAACCATAGAGGCCAGACAGTTTATTACCTCTGTGAGGATCAAGCGTTGATACTTCAACTTCAGTGTACTCCACCTCAGCACTCTCAAGGTCAGGTCCTGCCCCAAAAATATCAAGAAGATGTTTCTTTGTAGGAGTGCATACTTCATTTGAGCTGTGGACCTGATCCTGCTGCCACTGAAATTAATGGACAAGTCCTCATTGACTTTGATAGGTGCAGGATCAGGTCCTACTTATGGCACATGTAAAGTACGCTGCTAAGAGTTGTAAGGTCAACCCATTCCTAAGGGTCATCACAATTTGAAAGGCAGTAGACCAACTCAAGCCAGATTTCTGAAACTGTGGGATGTGCAAATTGTGCCTAAAAATCTTTCTTTCAATTTAACACTTTCAAAAGTGGCACAACACAAGTGGAGCAGGGAATTATCTGAGATTCTCCCATATTTCTTCTACAGCTGCAGCTCCTCTCTCTTCTATTTCTCTCTCTGCCATTACTTTTTCCTCCTTTTCTACGGCCACTATGGCAGGACACTTTCCTCACATTTAAAGCCTTCTCTAAGTTTTTCATGGCCTCTCTCATGACCTCTCATGCTCTCCATTTCTGCTTTTCCAATAAGCAATTTCAGCACTTTCATGTTGCCCTTCAAGCTCTCCATAGAACATCTACAGTGGCAACCCGTCTTCCTCCTCAAAATGCTTCTCTGCCACAATCCCAAAGAAAGCCTGACAATAATTAGACACCTGATTTACTAAGACTATTGGCTGACCACTGGTTGCCTGCATGCTACAGACACAAGAAACAGCTGTTGCTTTCTACTCTGTCTTTTCCTTAGGGTGGTGATGGTTTTCTACTAGATTTCTGTAAAAGTTGAAAGGAACCACAACAGTCATCCAGACTGGAATCCTGCAGAACTATTTGTGGAACAGAAATTTCAGAAAGATCTAGTGATTAGAACAGCAAAGTTTTGGAGCAGCCTTCCAATAGCATTGGTGAGAGAAGAGAGAAAGAAAAAAAAACCAAACAGCTGAACAAAACAAAAACAGTGTTTAAGGTGGCATATTAGTCAATTACAAAGTTTAAATGACATGCTTCCTACAATAGCAGTGATTCTGAATGATCAATACAGCCTCATGTTCCTATGGTTCTGCTGTCTGTATGTTTGTTTTGCATGACCATGTCTCTCCAGTTCTAATTTGAATTATTCAGGCTTCAATGGAATGAATAACTTCCATGCACCAACTATAAACTCCTTCCTTTTGCTTGCTGAAGTAAAAGCTATTGCCACACAAATGCAGAGTAGATACTCTCATTTTTAGAGGTATGTGAATAATACTTATTTTTCACATCTGGTAGAGACACCTGCAGTAGCCCAGCTGGTTTTAATGAAGCTGCTCAATCGACAGTAGGTAAGTACCCATTTATTTCTGGCACACATGCAAATCATTAGACCAGAGCCCATTTCATCTGAAACAGGTAGCATACAATAGAAAAAACAAGAGTCATTGAGCTAGAGTTTTCAAACATTGTTTCCAAGTTTTCATGTGAAATTAACTTAGTGCAGCTCCTTTCTCTTAGTTTTGTGGTACAATGCTGCCCTGCACACTCAGAATTCCATCAAAGAATTACTGATTAGAAATTCCTGCCACCTGGGTTGCAAACAGGGTTATGCAGGGGTCTAGTTCCATGATCTGGATTAATTTTAGCTTAACTTTGATCTTTAGTTACACTAGATGCCTTTCCAACTATCTTTCAAGTAACTCATGGTCCAGTAGACAACCAAGTCAAAATGTACTACAAGCCATCAGAAATTGCATCTAACCCATGAGAATACTTTCACATCAATATGAAAAAAAAAAAGGGGGACAAAGTATGCTTTCAGATTACAATACCTACATATTTAAGTACTATTCTTTGAGTAAATATCTTAAAAACACCAGTTTTGAAGAATACAATATACCAGATGATACAGTACTTGATGACACATTTTAACGCATATATATATATAGCCCACATGGTGTCTCAAGATATTTGGCAGGTTGTTTTATTCAGATTTCATAGCAGATTATTTTTAGGTTTAATGCTTAAATATTTCCAGACCTACAGAAATGAAAGAAGGACAGAGAAGTAAAGAAGCAGAAGTCTGTAGAAAAAAATTTTTTTTTTTAATTTCTGAATATTTGTTGTAGAGAACTTAGAATTTTGAGTTTAAGTTGCATTTTTATACCACATTTCATTAGATGGCCTGGAATCCAGCCCAACTAATTATACTTCATAATGTAGTTGGTAAATGGGTTCTATCATTGCCATTTTGCCCATAAGGAAGAAGAACTAAGCTCAGTAAAGGTGTCTTTCCCACTATAAAAGAGAAAAAGGAAAGGACGGGACCTATCTAATTGTGATTGCTACCATTACAAAACATCACAAATTTCAATCATAAAATCATTTTAAAATCTATTGTTTAAGTAGGAAATTACCTTTACTCTCATCTGTTGATTTCATGTGATTCTCGCTATCTTCAATGTAACCTGATCCTAAAATATTAAAGCAAAAGTTGAGCTGACAAAATATTTATTATAGCCAATGAATTAAATGAGCTATACAGCTGTAGCTCCTATTGTCATTACATTTATTTACATATAAGAAATCCTACTTTTGGGTTCATACCTAAGACATTCATATAACACAGGTGGGAAGAACGCAGCTTTTTAAATGATCAGCTAAAGAACAGCTGAGGAGTAACTTTGTTTATATCAGGTGCTCTAAACAACACATCCACCTGTCTTTATAAAGTGCATTGAGATCCTGGAATGAAAGGTGGCCAGTCATGGCAAGTTAATATTGCTATACTGTGGCCACATCACAGGACCATTTACCACAATTGAAATTTCCTCTGAAGTTATTTTCTTGCAGCTGTGTCAAAACTGTCAAAAACAGAAAGTAATTTTCTTTTACCATGATTTCTCCATCTGTAATATTGTTAACTGATTGCCTGGCAGAAGTGTCTGAGCAGACTTACAAACCAATCTTTGTATAAGACTTGCTCATAAAAAAACTGTACAAAGACAAAATGAGAGAAGATCCTTGGGAGACTGTTACTGGTATTCCTCTGTATTCCCAAAACACTGGGCCCTATCCAAACAACAACCACGTAAGCCCAAAACTTTAAATAAATGTTTAATTAAGCCAACTTACTAATAGTTTTACAGCAAAATATCCTACCTGAATAGTAGTCTCCATCATTGTGCTGTCTTGTCAGTTTTTCACTTGTCAAGTTTGTAGCCAAGGCAGAACTGAAAAGCAAACCAATAAAAGTTGATGCAATTATCCAAAACCAGTCAATGAAAACAACAACATGATGATATGTGAAGATCAGTCATTGTCTATGCTGACTACCACACATTCTTAACTACTGAAGCTAATGAAAATGTTGCCTTTGTCTTAAAGAGAAGCACAAACAAACATTAAGGTCAAAATTGTTCCCTCTTGCATTACTTTTCTTTAAGACCTCTGTATTTTTAATTCCATATCTAAATGCATTCACATGCAGACCTGATATTCTTCTATTTCTCTTAGCTGGCCTTTTTTTTCTATTTTTAGAGTATTTCCTCATCCTGTTGTTGTGTTAGCAGGTGGTACGTGAAGCATAACCATCTATTGTCTGCAGGTGTGTGCCATAATAAACTATATTCATACAGTGGAAAGCCTCCAGCCCTTAAAACAGAAATACTTCATCATTACCATAAAGCAAGCTATCTTACCCAGACATCTCCATGGATCGTCCTTTAGCTTGACAGAAAAAAAAATAAAAGCATCTATTAATAAATTGTACAAGTAAAAGAATTTAAAAATAATAATAAAAACAAAAATATAGTGATTACCTACCCAAGTCAGAATAATTTCTCTCAGCTATCACAAAATTAATTCCATAGTGTCTTACATCCTGTTTATCACCCAAGTCCCTTAAATGTCTCTTTCACAGAGAACATAAGATCCTAACCCCCAGACTTTAGCCTGGCCAATTTAAGCAGTCTGGGACATCCAGATACTCCAAATTTTCCTAAATATTTTGCAGTGTACCACATATCACAAAATAAGCCAGATTTACTTATTTTCTGAAAGAACAAGATCTGAAAGAATACCTTAATGATAAAAGACAAATCCCTAAGTGAAATTGTATTACATTGTGAGGAGAAGAAAAAACAACCCCACAACTTAATAATCTTAAATTTTTTTCTTGAGGACTGGAGAAGTACCTCAATTACACTTGAGCTGGGACCCCAAATCAAATTGTCATAGCTGTATAAGGGATCAAAAGATTCCTCAGGCCCTATCTGCCTCTACATTGCATGGGATTCAATTCCAGACCTAGGACTGCATCAGAACAGTGCAATTCTGGCCTATCTCCAATGACCTTTGCTTCACTAATGCCTTGCCTGCACCATTAGTTAGATGCTCCCATTCTGCCCAATATACTTGGAAAACTTCAGCACACTTCCAGCTTAATTTGAGCCACCCAGCATTTTTAAGTAGATTTTTAGGTTTTTTAAAATTGTATTTAGCCATCTCTTGAAGCCTCACCCCCACAAGCCTTTGCTCCTGAAACAAATGCAAGTTTAACTGTAATACATTCATCACCAAAGAAATAGAAGGAAACCATTCATTACCCTTTTTCTTCTTACACAAAAACCACCATAAAGCGAGAGTTACTGCTCCTGCGATAGGTATTAGGACAAATGCAGCAATGACACCTTTCTGCCAAGATGCTAAGATGACTGGAAATAAGAAAGACATGTTTAAGAGAGTATGTACAGTGATGGGTCATCATTACCAACTTCTGCAGTTCCTGACCTTTCATTTTACTATAAATTGGCCTTCTTATGCACTGGGGAAGAACTTTAAGGAGACTTGCGTGCAAAGTTCACCAGTGAGCCTCTCCTTTGCATCCAAAAACTCAGTACAACAATGGGCTGCTTTTAGCTTGCACTTGGCTCCTTTGGCTGATGAGCATCCCTTAAACTTTTCTATGTGACTTAGACAATCTCTGTTTATAAATGGATCTCTCTGTTTAACTTCTGACAATGATGGAACAAAACCAAGTAAGGTTATTATACTTAGTAACATCCCAGATAACATGACCTCACCTGTCATGATGACACAGTACATAGCTTATCATAACGGTTAGCTTACCACTGATGGTTATTGGATGACTTTTCACATCCACATTAGCTCGATTAGAAGCCATGCAGTAATACGTCCCTGTGTCCTGGCTGTTCATTGCCTCCTTGCGCCACATGACTCTGTCTGCATTTTCACTTTTTTCAAACAGAAGAACTTCACGATCAGTTTTTCGAAAAATCCTGAAGTGGATTGGCCAAGATCCTTCTTTCACAGAGCAGAGAAAAGCAGTCTCACTGCCATCTTCGACTTCTCCATATGGAATACTGCCCAAACTGGCATT